ACTTTTTACAACAGAAGACCCCAGAGATTAGTTTCCATAAAGCAAAAAGAATCCTTACAGGAAGAAAAGTGAACATAAAGAGAAAACAATCAAGACACAGCATAAAACCAAATATCATCAGCTGAAAAAAAAATCAAATCAACATTTTAGTTCATTGAAGAAAACTTACGACAGAAAAAACAAGCATTGATAAGACAAGATTAGCCTTGTTCGCAGGCAACTCTATTCTGTGGGATTCCTGTGTTAAGCCAAAAAAAGCTGTGGAGGGGGAGGGGTTAGGAAGGAAGGAAAAGCATGCTGAGTTTACTCCTCTTATTCGTTGTTCCTAATTTCTTAACACCAGTTCTTCTCCATCAAGATTATAAACACAGGAAGACCAAGAAGAGAAGAATGTCTGTTTCCATTGGAGTAGCCTGTGAAGGAGGCTAAGACAAGATATCACATTGTATTTTCATCTAAAGAAGCAAATTGCTAGTTTCTTGCCTTCTCAACTTCTCTTGGTATTTTCATAAAGGTATAAACTATTCTTCGTTTATCATCATATTTATCTTCATCTAGTTCAAGTACATAACCATGGGAGATCTCCGCCATCATATATTTGAATATYGATAATTCTGGAGATGTTAAAAGCACTACAGTTATTAAGATGCAGATATGAATTGAGTGATTTATTCATAAAGAAAGAACATGATGTGATCATTACAATTATAGCCTKCGTAGYRGYGTYAGGGGAAGGTGGAAGGGGGTGGTGGACATGAGCCRAAAAAGGARTCATTTTTGCTTTCATCTCCTCCCACTCCCATCCCCTTCCCTTTTTCCCCTTCCTCCTACGCAGGCTATGATGATGTGCAATAAAATGATGACAAACATACAAGTTCAGTCATATGTTTAAATATATCAAAGACTGCAAAACTTTTGCATTACAGGTCTAAATGAAATACATGTACAATCAATCAAAAACGGCTATTRTGATGATGATGGTATGATAATGATAATGATGAGAAAATCAAACAATAATTGATGATGACGTTCACAATTAATCTCACTACATGTGCATGTCTGCACCATTCTGGAACAAAGTCAMRCCTTAGYAATGAAGTGAAACAGCAGTTTGAGCTTGCAGCMAAAGATGCATTATTTAYAATTAATACCAATCATTGCGACAGCTTTGCTGCKAAGCAACATCTACCTTACAGTTGGAAATTATAAAAGGAGAGTTTGAAACCCATTATATTTTGTACTTACTTTTTGTTRGAGATTGATTTTGCGATTGTTTTTGATTTGTTCTTGATAGTAGAGTAGTGTCTAACAGTGGGTCATCATCAAAAACATTGTCTCTGCTGTCTTCAAATTTTTCAAAATTGACATTTGAATCTGATGAAGAGCTYGGTAAATTTTCTACTTTTTCTTTTAAATGTCGATGTCTAAATTCAGTTTTTTCGAGCTGCACTTCTGGTACGTGGTGTGTCGAGCTGTCGACAAAAACGTCACCGTGTACTTCTTCGACTGCTGATGTTAGTTTGCAGCCTTCGCTGTCCGCACCGACAGCTCCTTTCGCCACTTCCATTTCCAAAACTTGTTCTTCTTTATCATTTTTTAGGTCACTTAAAGAACCAACATCATCTTTTATGCAAAGGTCAGCTGCTGCTGTCACTRTTTCATTGTCGAAAACTGTACTTTTAACAGCTGTGGCRGCCTTTTCCTCGCCAAAACTGCCCTCCGTTTCAAAGGATTTCTCTGAAAAAGTGTCAATATTTTCTGTACTATCTAWGAATTCATTTCCAGATGTATTTTGTGCATTTTCCGAGGATGTTGATAAGCTATCGATTGATTTATCCACGTTCGACCCTCCACGTTGCTCTACATCGTCCGCCATGTTTTTGTTATTATTTTTTGCATATATAATTAGTTGAGCATGCTCTGTAATAGCTGCTATCACAAAACCTTGCGGGCGCAAACTTTTTCAATGATTCTGATTGGGTGTTGCCTAGATACTGTTGTTATCCAATCAAATCTCTTTGGTRAATCTGATTGTCCCCAGTCTTCTATGCGCAGTTTCCATGGCAGTTCTTCATTTGTAAACTATCCGAACAAGAAAAGTTGTACTTCTGTAAAAGCTAATTTTACAATGTTTTGACCATCCTTTTGCTAGTTTTTGCTAACACAACGAACTGAAAATGTCTAGAGCACAAGCTGAAAGCGTCATTAAGAATATTATTCGGGAAATTGCTCAAGAATGCGCGAATAAAGGCCAAGCTGTYTCAGAAACCCTTGTGGCATTTATGGTAAGAAAAACATTTTGAATCGTTCTTTTTGTTTACTTTTTATTTTTCTCTTTCTCTAAACATTTTMAACTCATTTTCTATTGAATTCAATTGGGTGATTGCTATATTTCGCTTGATTTGCAAATCGAAATCTTGATTATGTTGAATGTAAACTGCATTACCTTCATAAATGTCTGACATTCTGATAAAATAACATTTATTTTTTAAAGCTTTCATTAATGTAGAGTATTTGATTGAATAGGTCAAAGCAGTAGTTCTTGATCCTGACAATGAATTCAATGTGGACAGAACAYTAACTAAAGATGAYGTTCAAAAACTTATCAAGGTTTGTGTCACAGTATATWTTCTAAATTGTTCTGCAGAAACCTACTTGTCAGCTTAATGATTTTGTATTTGATAAATTGTTTTGATCKTTCAGCTTTGTGTGGGGAGATTGCTCAACTCACAGTCACCTGCACTGGATACTGTCAAAATGCAAGTCTACTTTGACATGAATTACACTAGCAGAGGTATGAAAAAACCATTAGAGTCAATTTCGTATGAGTGGGAAACGGAYGGTACTGTACTGTAACCGTAATCRTACTTTAACCAAATTCTAGTGYCYCATTGGTTCACAAAAATTGTGCAGGCCWGGTCCGGTAMCTGTGCGGTAACCATGCTGTAATTTCTACCGTACATTTCCCACTCATACAAAATTAACTCTAACTAAAAGCATGGTTAACATTAACAAAACCATTGATAGGTCATGTAATAAACTAATAGTTTATCACAGGAAACACAGGCTTTTTATCAGTGGTTCTTATATATGTGACCACCCCTCCCCTCCCCTCTATGATTTATGATGACTACTGGAAGGCAAATTTCACACTGGGATGTTCAAAATATCAGAGAAAAGTAAAGTTGATGGGCTATGTTCCTTTGTAAAAAAAATTCATGAAATTCACCTCAAACAGATAACATACAGATAGTGATAACACTGACAGCAAGTCTGATCAAAATTCAGCTTGAGTTTTTTTGACTTATTCAGAAAACCTTTAGTAGTTGAACACTGCAAGGCTAAATCAATATAATAAAAAATTGCATGTAAAGTCATTAGATTTTCCATAATGATGCTTACACCAAAGTGACTCCTGTTCCAATAGTCACACAACTGTAATTTAATGATGACTAGGATCAAACTTGTATTTTACAAAAAAAAAATTGTATTTTTTTTATTTGTTTAAATTCATAAATTACCAGCTGATTTCCTGGAAGAGCATAGGCGTGTCCTTGAACAAAGATTGCAGCCTGTTGTAAGAGAGATCACTGACAGCCGTGCACGGACTAGAGATGAACTTGAAGGTTGGTGCATTCAATTTAGCTGTAGTTATTTTGAATGCGATAAATCCTTCTCATATATACTACAAAATAAGTAGTGTTTATTATAAATATAGTAGCTACAATCATGGACAAAATTCATTGGACAACTTACTGACAATTTCCCCCCGTAGCCCCCCATTTTCAATGTTGGGCTCGAAACAAACCCTCCTTCCATACCGAAACATTTCCGCCAACAACATTGTTAACCAACATTGACTGTGGGGGGAGGGGGAGGCTTTGAGTAAGCATTAAAACAGCCCATAAGAGAGCGCATCTGCTAGAGCGCAGTAATAGCGTTCTGTCCAATTCAGTTTTGTCTAGGATTGTAGGTAATATAGTAAGTTATAGTTGTAATAATTAAATCATTTTTTATTAAATAAATGTGATGATTAAAGGAATATTGTGAGTTATGTGGGTAAGTTAGCACAGAAAATTCATTTTAATCAAACCAAATTTGCACAGGGTTAGTTCCCAATACATATGTTTAATCTTCACCTCATGTGTAGATCCTTTATTACTATAATTTTTGTTTAATAACATTTGCTATGTAGCATCCAGACATGTTGATTATCTGCACCAAAGCCCCTCAAAAATGAGATCTGATCTGGAAAACATTTCTGTATGGCAAGTCTTCTATACATGTATGGAGTATTTACCATGGAGAGATGGTTTCCAGAGGGTATCCAAAAGACAAATTGTTCCTCTCATAGTAAAAAGCTAAAACAAAATTGTATCTAATAGTAGTCATCTAGCTAGAAGATGATATAGAAATAACGGAAAATTGTTGTGCTTAGAAGGAGGTTATTCAGGGAGAAATACACTTGGAAATACATTCAGAAAAAGTGATTTCAGACCTCGGTGGGAGTTGATCCCATGACTCTTAGATTGATTGATTGATGCTCTACCAGCTGCTACTAAGCTGAGCTACAAGTTTAGACCGGGAGAAAGCCAGGGTGAAATAATAGATGTTACATGTAGGTTGCAGTGATTAGAATGTAAAGATATGAATATGAGGACCGCATGATACTATGAAAAACATGAATAAAGGTGCTTAGAGAGATTATCCTGGGCGAAAGATTCTTATGAAATAAGGAAATATTTCCCAAAAATTTTCCTAAAAATTAAATTTCAACCTTTCTACAAATTATTCGAACCCATGACCCTTGTTTTTGTACTACAGATGCTGTACCAGCTGAGATGTCTTATTGGAAGGACAGCTGAACAGCACAATCCATATGATGATGAATAATATTCAGATGATTTCTGTTATTTTAGGTCTGTACAGGAAGATAGTGTCGTGTGTTTTGTTAAGATCAGGACTAGGATCACCTACAGACATTGCAATAGTCAGGGAAGCAACAGGTAAGCATTATTTTAAAAGAGCTATTCATGTGCAATATTGATATATGATAATTACAGGTGTTTTGATTGGTTGAAGAGCTTTGATACAGCATAGCAGAGTAATTTTGCTTTGAAGATCAAGAAGCATCATATAAAATGGCCATTTGTGCCTCCACCCTTTGATAAACATAGTTKTTACATCCACAAACAAATAGGACCATTAAAAAGCCATATGAAAAACGCAACCAAGGCTGCAATAAATGAATATTTAAACAAATGTGCAGTGACACCATTTTGTACAACAAAGTATGCTACAGTCCTCTTACTAGTTTTTCATGTCCACTAAAACAGTTCTCTTACAGCTGTAATCTATTTTTTGTTGCAAGGATAAAAGTAGGTGTGTGGTTTTTACAAATTAAAATGGCTTTGGAGGAGATTTTCTAGATGCTCTAAAAAGTACAGGTACTACAACTGCCATCATACTCTGCTGTACAAAATGGCATCACTTCGCATTGCTTATGTTAAAGCTCTTATGTTCTGCATAGCCCAGCAAATCCAAAAATTACTATAAAGGCCCGTTTATACTAGAGTTAGTAGAGGGGAATAGTTCCCCTCTACTAACTCTGGTTTACACTTGCAATTTTTGCAGCGCAATTGTCGCACGACAATCGCCGCCTCGTTCTCGTGTAATTCAAATCGTAAGTGTAAACAGCCCTGCGATTGCCACGGCGATCGAAAACCGCCRCAAGTTGCAGCTAAATTTTAAGCATGTTCGAAACTCAAAAATCGCAAGTCTAAGCGGGCCTTAGTAATGCYAT